ACACACACACACACACACACACACACATACATATATATATATATATGGCCATTTTATTAAAAATGTTTAAAAGATGAAATGTCATAGAACACATAAAAAAACTTGAGATGTGGTGGAAACGGCATTGTATTTATTATATACATGTAAATAAAATATAGTTAAATTGTAAATAAACGTTCATTTATGCATATCAAATTATAACATTAACATTATATAGAGTATTATTTTTTAAATGTATTTTCCTTTTGTTTATTAGTGTTACTTGTCCTTGATGTGTATAAAATATATTTTTCTTATTCTTTTTTCACTCGTTTGGGATTTTAAAAAATCCTAATTTTATGCCATCTATGGATTTTTATATTTATGTTTTTAAGGCTTTAACATAACTTATAGGCTATCTGCATGGGTGTTACCTGCTTCATTTTAGTCTCTTGTAAGTCAGTGAGTCATGCTTGAAAACTCCTCAAATTGATCTGTAAACTTAGATAAAAGCTGCCATTTACAAGAGTCCACACTACCTGTATTAAGTTTCTTCAAGCTCCACAGAAGATCACTCTCTTGGTCGAAGTCCAAAAATCCTCAGCCTGAAGTGAGCAGTGATTGGACAGATCTGAAAGCTTTCACGTGCCCTGGAAAACACCACACACACACACACACACACACACACACACCTCCTCTGTCAACCCAAAGGGTGGAGTGCGTCTTTTGAAGACGCACACAACCACAATCCCTGAAGGAAGAGGTTGAGAAAAGGATTTAAAGTCAACAATGCATTTTGAATCAAGTTAATCATTAGGCTAAATGTTATAGGCTATACAAAATTGGCACTGTAATGTAAAGTGTTACTTTTTATACTCCTATCTGGTACGTTTCCAATAATTTGCAGCACATGTTGCGAATGCACAACGATGTAAGTTGTCTGAAGGAGGTGGGCATGTAGAAACCCGGGTGTTTTGTGGATGTCTCCGCAGTCATGCAGGTTTCGCGGATCCGCGCGGCGCGTAAAAGTGAGTGGCTCAAATGCGCGCTAACGCACCACTTCAGCCCAGATCCCTGCGTGGAAAACGAGATCGTGGTTTTGGCCATCGGTGTGGACCAGTATCTCCAGGAGGTGTTTCATCACCTCGCCTTTTACCACGGTGATGACCTCGTCTCGAATGAGGACTTTAGGAGTCTGTGTTTGATTTTGGGGATCCCCGCGAGCGCAGAGACCGAGAACGGCACCTCAGAGCACCGGGATATTTGCGATGGACTTCCTCTTGTGCTGAACTGTAAAGACTTCCACGCACGGCTTTGTGGGGTTTTCACGCTGAAAGCGCAGGAAGGACAGACCGGAGTTCGACTTCCGGTCAGCGAGGAGACCGAGCACATCGAGCGGGAGATCAGGCTCCGGTGTCCCCGCGTCCGGAGGAGAAAGTGCGTCAGCTTTGATCTGTCTGCCGACCAACAGAACCGGAGGAGGTCAGTGAGGAGATCCGGACCCTCTCAGAATCCGGATCATTTAAAGAGCTCTGCTGTGGAACCCAAGAGAAACGCAGGTAGGAGCCGCACACACACACACACACACACACACACACACACGAGCTGTCAGGACAGGTGGACTAATTTAACAGCTGTATTTTTCCATCCAAAAACTCAAGCCTTAGGGGACGTTTTTAGCCTTTAATGATGAATAATGAAGATTTATTTAAGGGAGATGTATGAGTGTGCCATAAAACAAATGCATATTGCATAAACAGCTTCTAAATGATAATAATCCAAATAAACTTCACTGATTTATTTACTGATCATATTTCATACAAGATTAAAATCTTTTAAAAACAAGTACAAAATGAATTTATAATATACTACTAATAAGTATATATTATATTTATAATTTAAGTAATAAGTTATATTTACACAATTAATGTTTAAAATAACCGATCAGTAAATAATTTCTAATTTCTCTGAATTCATTTGAAATTTTCTAGCATTGCAGTGTTGAATATTACTGTAACCCTCAAAGAACCCACTTTTTTTAAAACTAAAAAAGTAGTAAGTTAACGTTAAAGAACAATCATCATCATCTTCATAATAAAAAATATATTTTAATTATAATAAATATGACTTTATACATTTAAGAACATAATATTTGAATTATATTGTATTACATTATAATAAAAAATAAAACAAATACTTATCATATTTATTAAACAAATATAAAATTATGTATTAATAAATAATTGTATTATAATAATTATATACTATTTAACATGTATGTCTTAAATTATATTACACAATTGTTAAAATAGTTGATTAATAAATAATTTATAATATCTATGAATCATTTTGAAAGCAAAAAGCTGTGTTTTTTGTTGTTTAATCATTACTGAAGACCCTATTTTTACTGTATTGCAGTGGATATGAACCCTCAGAGGAGATGGCAGGACCAGCTGGAGCTGGAGAACGCCAGTCTGAGGGAGCTGGTGGAGGACTTGCGTTCTGCCCTCCAGAGCAGCGACGCACGGTGTTTGGCACTGGAGGTGGCCTTATGCCGAAAAGATGTGCCGTCCCAACATACTGCTGGAGGAACCCCTGAAAAACAGGACTGCAAAACAAAAACACAACAATCCAAACACATGGAATGGGACTCCAGAAGAAGCACTAAAGACCTCCTACGAGAGCTGGAACTGATCCGTGCTTCTCGCGATGGACAGCTGGAGGAAGCCATGCGGTTTAACCAGAGGTTAGAGGAAGAGCTGATGGCGTCTTATGGAGAGATTAGCAGGATGCAGGAGATGCTGGACAGCGTCCGGACGGAAAACACGCAGATTAAGAAGAGGACAGAAGAGGTCAGAAAGTCACTGGCCGCAGGGCTGGAGGGTGTGAGGACCTTACAAGACCAGGCTCGACAAGCTGACCTGCTCCGAGAACAAGTCCAGAGTCTGGAGAGCCAGCTGGAGAAGTTCAGGTAGATCTTTTATTTATCTCATGCTATAATTTCAGTCACACACATGCAGGTAAAGAAGTTTGGGATCAGGGGTGTATTCCAGAAAGCACGGTTAACTTACTGTCAGCTAAACCCTGAACCTTCGGTTGATTAAGCCCAAACCTTGCTTACTCGAGGTATGTGGTTCCAAAAACGCGTCCGGGAGTAAGTTCATTCAACTCCGAGTATGTTCCTGGTTAAGACTCAAGACTTTCTCAACAGAGTGACCAATCGACGAGTCACTATGGAAACGGATGCTAAGAAAAAGCACTCCATGCTGTTTCTTTCTTCTTCTTTTGTTCAATGGTCGTTTACATGTTTAGTGCATATTGCCCCCTAAATGATGGTTGTGCAATCATTTTTATTTTTTTCCATTTAATCTTTAATCCTTGAGAATATGAATTATATTGTTTGGCTGCGGTTATCCGCTCTTATCCTCAAACATACCCGGTTATGTCACGTAACCTGCTTTTTGGAATACCCCCCATTAGTGTTTTTTTTTTTTAAATATTAAATTAATAATTTTATTCGTCAAGGATGCATTAAAAAAAATTTTTTTTTGAAAAATAATGAAGGGCTTTTCATTCAAAACAGAATCCTAATAACAAATGTATCACAGTTTCCACTAAACTATATAGTTAATAAATTTTATACATAATGCATTTTTTTGAGCATCAGATCAGCATAACAGAATGATTTGTGAAGGATCATGCACTGAAGACTGGAGTAATGATGCTGAAATTTCAGCTTTGCGTCACAGGAATAAATGACATTTTAAAATATATTCAAATAGAAAACAGGTTAAATTATAATAATATTTCACAATGTTACAGTTTTTACTGTATTCTTGATCAAATAAATGCAGCCTCGGTGAACATAAGAGATTTCAATGTTCAAAAACATAAAAAAATCTTAACAAACCCAAACTTCTGAACAGTGTTTGTGAATTCATAGTTTGTCCAAGTATGAGAATTCTGCTATCTTACACTCATTCTCTCGTTCGTAACTGTTTTTGTCCATAACATAAAAGTCAGTGCTGTCAAAAACAACACTAAATCACTCTGTCTTTTGTGTTCCACAAGGAAAGAAATGCATATATGGAATGACATTTTCATTTTTGGGTGAACGATCGCTTTAAAGCAGCACTATGTAACTTTTGGCGCTCTAGCGGTTAATAAACAGAACTGCACACATCCCGCGGAAGAACATTCCAACCGGAGCTACTTCTCTAAGTTTATGTCTCTGGCGATTCACGCAGGTATGTGTTACTCCGCAGCGGTGACGACCCGACCAGGCTACAATAGTCCAAATATAAGTACTTATTATAAGTGTACCGTAGTGATTCGGAATAAGACAAAAACGCGGTTTGGAAGATTAATTCATGATGTACTCGCTCATTATATACATTTTGCAAATTTTGAAAACAGAAAAAGTTACACAGTGCTGCTTTTTTTTAGTTAAGATGATTTTACCTAATTTTTTTATTGGCTGTCCCCTTTTCAAACTGGAATTTCAAACAAAGTTGAATAATTTAAATTCATAAAAATTATACAAAGAACCACTTCAGTGTTCACTTCAGGCCTAGTCGACCATGTAGACCGCCTATAGGACAGGACATTTCTAAGACTCAGAGCAGACCACAAGGGCGGTCCGAGATGAGAAGCCATAATCAACAGAAAATCTCGCATAACTAAGATCTTTACCTGCATTGATGCTTTAGTGTTGATGAGTCAAGAAGCAGCGCTTGGCTAGGAAACAGTTTGGACAGGAGCAGCATTGCAGGGCTTGTCGCAGACATGACTGATTTTCCCTTGACAGATGTTAATGACCTGCTTTAATAACACAGGACGGCACAGTTTCCTGCAAATGGTTATTAGTCATTCGCTTTCAAGTGTGAGTATTACAGCAAATCACACAAAGCCTCTATTACAGCATCTAACTCTACATGTCTTTTTATATCCTGTGAGGAAGCATATAGGGTCCAGACACATGTTTAAGCAGGTGTGTTGGACAGTCAGAGATCAAAGACGTTTGTGGTCAGTGATTTTTACAGTGCTGTTTCATTTGTCTCTATCTATGAACATAATAATTAAGAAATGTCTGAAAAGGACAGAGAAATTAAAGCCACACAATACTTTACATCTGCTAGTATCTATCTGTATTTCTACAAACTAAAAAGGTTAATTATGTAAATCATATTAAATTAACAATGCATAGACTTTAACAGGGAATGTGTAATTTTAGCACCACTATTGCACAATTGCAAAAATAATTGTAGCATTAGAGCAAAGAGAATTGGCATATTTCTGAATTCAAAATGCCAGTAAGAAATAAAACAATATATGTTGTTATTTATTATCATAATTATGTTTGAATAAATAAACACTTATGGATGTAATAATACATACAGTACATATTTATTGTATTTTAATTGTAGAGTAGAGAATTGAACTAATAATACGAAATAACAACAAGTAATAATAATAAGAAGAAATAACCAATAAGACAAATATTCATAATTTTAAGTTTAAATTAATTGATAAGATGACTCAGAGCAAAAACGATGTCTAATTTTACAGTGTAAATGATAAAACTTAAACAGGATATGTGTAATTTTAGCACCACAGTTGCAAAAATAATGACTGTTTTTACACAGGTTTCCGGAACACTCGTCTTACTGCAATGCAGTGAGCATTAGAGATTACACAAGCCAAAGTGTTATTTTGAAGTATAATGAATTAATAAGCTTCTTAGAACCATTTCCAAATGTGCTATAAAACTTTAGCTCACATTTACTTTGCAATCAATCAAGTAAATTGTCGGCTTTCAGTCGACGCTTAGAAGATGAATATCTGTGTTAATATTTCATTATTTGCATCACAGAGCGGTGATGTAATGCTCATTCCTCACCTGGAAAAGCAGGTCGAAACCTGCCAGGTTCCTGACTCAGAAAATCCACACGCTCTGCTGGGACAATCATCAAACTTGTTCATGCATCAGCAGCACAATAAACGCAGCGTGCTGAACATCCTCTATCAGTTATGTGATATTAAATGTTCTGATTCCAGACATCTTGACTCATCTGCACAGAAGCTTATTTAATCGTATTTACTGTACGGTATGACTTATTCTTAGGGCCCAGTGCACCTGCCCAGAGCTGAATATGAACAAAACTGAAATGCTAGCTGAACCAGGTGGGTCTGGATTTCCCTCCCCCACCAGTCATGATGATGCCAGAAGAGGTAAGAGGATCAAAAACCATCATAAACAAGCCAAGTTCTCATTCAGAACGTAAGAAATTACATTTTTTGCAAAGCTGGGTGGAATTTGATTTTACATTTTGCATGCACTATCAGTATAGCTGTGGATGTGGTCTAAATGGAATTCTGCATACTGCATACTGTGGACTAGCTACTTTTATTTTAATGCATCATGCAAAAAAATTCAAACAGTATTAAGCTTCACTTTTTTTCATGTGATCTCATCACGTTGCATGTTTAATTCTGCAAGTGCTGTGTAGCATTACCTCAGAAATAAATGCAAAAATAACTGTAGACAGTTAAAGTTTTTGAATTAATAATAGTAAAATAAAACAATAACAAAAATATCCATAAATAATGTAATCTAATTTTTTAAGTTTTTTTTTTAAATAATGTCATCTAATTAAAGAATATACATGATTTTACATTTCCAGAAACAAACAATATTGTCAATGTATTATATTTCTTTATATTTTAAATAAATAAAAAATAAGGATTACTAAATTGTATATTTATTTTTTGACATTTGAAAACAAAAAAAGGTAAATTTATTCATTTCTCTTTTTTATTTTATTATTTCGTTAATTTGACATTTTTTAATCATTAATTTAATTTAATTACATTTAAAGGGCTAGTTCTCCCAAAAATGAAAATTCTGTCATTAATTACTCACCCTCATGTTGTTCCAAACCCGTAAGACCTTCGTTCATCTTCAGAACACAAATTAAGATATTTTTGATCAAATCGAAGAGCTCTCTGACCCTCCATAGACAGCAATGCAACTGCAATGTTCCCAGACCCAGAAACGTAGTGAGGACATCGGTAAAAAACAGTCCACGTGACGTCAATTAATAATAGTAAAATAAAACAATAACAAAAATATCCATAAATAATGTAATCTAATTTTTTAAGTTTTTTTTTTAAATAATGTCATCTAATTAAAGAATATAAATGATTTTACATTTCCAGAAACAAACAATATTTTCAATGTATTATATTTCTTTATATTTTAAATAAATAAATAAATAAAAAATAAGGATTACTAAATTGTTTATTTATTTTTTGACATTTGAAAACAAAAAAAGGTAAATTTATTCATTTCTAAAAATAATTTTACAATATACATTACGGTATATACTATTTCATAATATAAATGTATTATAATATAAATAATAAATATACATTTCAGTGCTAGTGTCACTAGCACTACCATAAAAAAAAAACATAAATAATAACACCTTTTACACAGGGGTCTCTCTAAATGTTCCTTTTATATTTTTCCTCCAGTTTTGTGTCAAAATGTCTTTTTTGATAGCCTAGTAAAATAGTAAGTCAAAAAAGAGATTCATTACACTACAAGTGCATCAATTCAAGGGCATTTCATTGTATGACACAGCTTTCCTAGCAGTTATACTTCACATTTTGACAAATCAAAGTATTCCACATTTTTTGTGCACAGTACATACTGCAAAATAGTATGCACGCAGGGCATTAAAGACAGTAGTGGTCACGTGACATATCTGTGCAGAAGAAGACCTGCAGAGGTCAGTAGAGGGTCAGGCAGCATCCGATGAGGAAGAGGAGGAGAGGAGCGTAGATGAAGGACAGTGCTGCCACCTGGAGGTGAAACGGCTGATCAACAGATTACACAGCTGTGCCAAAGGGTGAATATACCTTTGATATAAAAAATAAAAAAAATCAGCATTTTGGCCATGTATTCATTTGACATGTTCACACACTTGTATTCCTCCACAGGTGTCAGAAAGCTGCTATCTGTAACTGGCTTATCTCTCAGAGCTCCGCTCATAGCAAAGACACTAAAGCATGCATGTGGATTCCTCAAGCGGATGAGAGGGGAAATCAAGCGGGAAAGGTGAGAGTTAAAGAACAATCTATGATCTATGATAATGGAATATCATACACCACATCATCTCTAACGAACGCCTGTCTTCTCTGTCACATGAAGCAGAAAGAGGTGGAGAGTTTGAGAGTTTATCATTCACTGCTGGAGGAGAGACTGACTGATGCGCTCACGTTACTGCTGCAGATACCACATAAAGTGAGAAGAACTAGATTCAGAAATAGATTTCTGAGTAAGAAGTTTGTTCTAAGTTGCTTACTGAAGTCAGTGGTATATGGTATGATATATATTTTTTTATATTTATTCATAAATATTTAGCATTTTATATGTTATCAGATTTAAACATTTATGTGTTTAACTACTTAAAATCAACTTTAATAAAATTGTATATTAAGTTTATGTTTATATTAAATTTTAAATTAATATAAAGATGTTTTTAACATTTATTTTAGCATTTTATACTATAAAACTACTTATGGTTTTGTGCCTAAAGAAATCCTTTATTATTTAATGCAGGGATTCATCAACTTTTTTGTCAGCTGAACCCCTTTGACCAAAAATATTTTCTTAAAGTATCCCCTGAGCTTTTCAGTAAATATTTCAATAATTTAACACATATTAATAATCATTTTAATATTTCAGTAATGTAGTTCTCTGATGTCAGTTAATGGTCACATAACATGTAGGGAAACAAATCTTTTTTATTTTATTATTTCGTTAATTTGACATTTTTTAATCATTAATTTAATTTAATTACATTTAAAGGGCTAGTTCTCCCAAAAATGAAAATTCTGTCATTAATTACTCACCCTCATGTTGTTCCAAACCCGTAAGACCTTCGTTCATCTTCAGAACACAAATTAAGATATTTTTGATCAAATCGAAGAGCTCTCTGACCCTCCATAGACAGCAATGCAACTGCAATGTTCCCAGACCCAGAAACATTAATGAGGAAAAAAAATTAACTTAAATGATTTTAGCAAATGGCTGCAATATAACAAAGAGTGAAAAATTTAAGGGGGTCTGAATACTTTCCGTACCCACTGTATGTCCATGACAGGGTGGACATATCTTATGGTTTATGCTTCTATAGTACTTGAGAGTCTACTATTTATGACATGACATAAAGCAAATAAGAAATTAAAAGGGTTGAAAAGCACTCTATGGTGATATTGACCTTCATAGCACATGAGACATCTTTTTTATGTGATTGTTTACATCTGAAAGACATATTTTTTATAGTGTTTGCTCATCTGCAATACGTCTATAGGATGTTTCCTGTCAGACGCCAAGCAGACACTTAAATAAAAAAATTTATTTAAGGTGTTTATGATTTAGAAAGTATGTAAAACTGACATCTTGCATACTATACAATATATATTGCCTGCAATTTCTTTGACAAACATGTGAAACAATATGCAACATTACGAACAGTAGTATGCGCAATGCTAATAATAGCACATGCCCTCACTAAGTTCACTTATCATTTTATGGTTAATTTGCACTTTTATTGTACAAAGCCTTGACTTTTCACAGTCAAATCAAATAATGAGTACAGAAAGAGAGTTAAAAATTACCTGGTTAATATGACTTCCTGTTCTGTCATCACATTGGAAATGAAAGATCAAGTCATGTGCACACTGCCACCTAGTGATTCAGCTCTGTAATGCACTTGTCTGCTTGTTTGCAATCTGAAAACCTCTAACCTGTGTGTTCTGACCCCTGTCAGAGAGTCTCTCGCAGGATCTTGGGGAAAATACTGATCAACACACTAGATCTGTGTACTAGAAAAAGCCACGGTAAGCTCTGCCTTTCTGTTTCATTTACATTGTTTTCTTTCATGCAAAACCGCTGGATAAACCCCCGCCTTTCCTTCAGACTGCACTCCGGTGGTTCTGGTGGTGGACACACTGTGCCGGCAGCTCCTCTCCAGTGACCTCCTGGATGGAGGAGAGGAGGTCAGCGTTGGGTCACGACCTTCTGGGACCTCAGGTCACTGAAACACATCCAACCCCCTTCTGATGTCCTGCTGAGATTTTACAGATGTCCTACTTTACATGAGGGTACAAATTGGCGTTATGTTATTTTTTACTTTTTAAGACATTAATTATTACCAGAGTTATTGTAATAAGAATGATCAAACAAATATTTTTCATTAATTTATAAGAAATAAAGGAGTACCAATAGAACAAACATTATTTGGTGCCTAACCAGCTCCTTAAAGGCAGGGTATGTGATTTTTCAAAAACACTTTAGAAAACTGATTCGGGCCGAATCGCAAAACAAACTTGTAGCCAATCAGCAATAAGGGGCGTGTCTACTCGTGATGTGGAGGAGAGCGCGTTCAGTGCATGGGACGGACATTAGCCGAGCCGAGCGACAGAAAGATAGATTAAAAAACTTATTTAAAATTCGTTTATTTAACATCTATTGCTAGAAAATATTAAACACATCACAAATCAGGGGGTTTAAAGCAACTGTATGTACAATTTTTATCTTAAAATATAAATTCCAAAATCAGTATAATGGTACATTGACTTAAAGCAGCACTATGTAACTTTTGGCGCTCTAGCGGTTAATAAACAGAACTGCACACATCCCGCGGAAGAACATTCCAACCGGAGCTACTTCTGTAAGTTTATGTCTATGGCGATTCACGCAGGTATGTGTTAATCCGCAGCGGTGACGACCCGACCAGGCTACAATAGTCCAAATATAAGTACTTATTATAAGTGTACCGGAGTGATTCGGAATAAGACAAAAACGCGGTTTGGAAGATGAATTCATGATGTACTCATTATATACATTTTGCAAATTTTGAACACAGAAAAAGTTACATAGTGCTGCACATCGGTTCTGGATAGTTATAGGCGCTTTTGAAACTCTGGCGAACCATTGAACCAGTATCTATAGTTTTTACCTTATCTTGGATCAGTTTTATAAATTTGTAGATATATTTAATCAGACTTTTGTGTAATTAAAAGGACGAGTAGCAGTTAACAGTCTCTTATTGGCCTGTTAAGCCAAGCCATCCATAAAACAAACAAAACAATTGATAAAATTGAATGATAAAAGAACACATGAAAATGAATTGATAAAAGAACACATATTGTACACACACTTCATATTTAATAGTATTAAATTATTCGTTAATTGCATTTAATAGATTCAAAAAAACATTTTTTGGGGGTTGTAAAAGCTGTTTTTAAGCACGTTTGGTTTGAGGTTTTGTTGCATTTACACGTTCTGGCCAGCAGGCGTCACCAGCGCGTGGTATTTCAGAAGCTTCGAAACAGTGAATCGTTTTGCAAAGCAATTAGTTCAGTTGATTCAAAGCTTTGTAAAAAGATTTGTTTCTCCCATCGCAACAAGTTAGTATGTAGTACAGTAAGCAAGTTTGGTGAGCGGCTACAAAATTCTGTGAAATGGGTGGTCTGCTTTATGGCTGCAACAAATGCATGTGTACAGCCGAAGACTTTTAATAGACTTTTTAATAGACTTTTATATAACTTTTTAATAGACTTATATATATATATATATATATATATATATGACTTTCCTTGAAAGTACTTTGGTACAGCTGTCCAGCGTTTTCACGACAGTGAATTCCACTCACCTAACTGCTGGTGCTTCAAGTTCCAAAAATACATATAGTTGCTTTAAACGGTATTCACATGTTCCAAAATTGTGGTAAAGGTTGCAGAAATGTCAAAATTCATATAAAATAAATGTTAAAAATGAAACTGTTCATATATTATAATTAGGGTTACCTCTTCAAGTGGATAAACATCACTTTCTCACCTTCTTTTAAAAAACAAAGAACTGAATTTAAAAGGGGCAATCCCTATTTTGTACCCTATTTGTGAAAAGTGTCTTAAACTGTTCTTCTGTATAGAACATGAGACCATGTTTTCTCATATCTGAATCCTATTTTTGTGACTTGTCCAATCACATATGTGACCCTGGAGCACAAAACCAGTAATAAGTCGCTGGGGTATATTTGTAGCAATAGCCAAAAATACATTGTATGGGTCAAAATTAACAATTTTTCTTTTATGCCAAAAATCATTAGAATATTAAGTAAAGATCATGTTCCATGAAAATATTTTGTAAATTTCCTACCGTAAATATATCAAAACTTAATTTTTGATTAGTAATATGCATTGCTAAGAACTTCATTCGGACAACTTTAAAGGCGATTTTCTTAATATTTGGATTGTTTTGCACCCTCAGATTCCAGATTTTCAAATAGTTGTATCTCGACCAAATGTTGTCATATCCTAACAAATACATCATACATCAATGGAAAGCTTGTTTATTCAGCTTTCAGATGATGTATAAATCATCTGAACACTTAAGACTGGTTTTGTGGTCCAGGGTCACATATTAGTTTCCTGAAATCGTTCCACTTGTTTCGTGCAAGACATGAATAAGTGCACATTATAGGACACTTTAGAGTTCAGTCTCAGTGTGTGTATATACAGTACAGTCATTTCCCTGCAAAGCACTTAATCTGAAACATTATGCTCTCATATGACCCAGTTACAAAATGATTTTTAACATTTATATTCGTGCTATAATATAATATCTGTATATTTGATAAGATAAAAAAAATTAACTTTTTTTTTTTTTTAGAAAGCATTTCTATTTTTGTGCATGTTCATGTGGAGGTGGATGTGTGACTTATATCTGATATCTGAATGTCACAGTAACTCATCTATGATGTCAGTCCATGTGACACAGTGTCACATTTCCATTCTGCGCTGCTACAATGTGTCGTTCACTGAGAGGAGGACAAGATGAGACACTCAGAAAGGAGTTCAGGGACGTCTGATCACAAACTCAAGATTTTTTACTTAGAATGTAAAAACAAACAAACAAAAATACTTAATTTGATATTTTATTATTATTATTATTATATATATTTTTTTATCTCTGTAAAGCCTGACATATGAAATAACAGTCAGAAAAAAATCTAAATCTTTAAAATATAAATATATTTTTAAAAAAGTTTGCATATATATATATATATATATATATATATATATATATATATATATATATATATATATATATATATATATATATATATATATATATATATATATATATATATATATATATATATATATATATATATATATATATGTATATCAGTGGCGTGCGGTGGTGTTTTAAAATGAGGAGGCAGTTATATATACTGTATATATATATATATATATATATATAGCAACTTTAGGCGCAAAATGAGCAAAAATATGCAATTTAGTGCAGTTGCTGATATTTATATGGGCAAAAAGTAAGATGTTCTTCTTGAAATATTACTAAAATGTAAAATTTCTTATGTTTACTTTATAAAAGTCATTAACGATTTCACAGCAAAAATGAAATATGCTTAAATATGCTGAAAAAAATGTAAATGTTTTTGAATTACATTATTTATAGGCCCTGGAAATATGTGTATTAACTATGATACAGAAGGCTTTAGAAGACGGGACTTCTTACTATTTTATAGGTCACATTATGTAATACAAAAAATTAGGTATTTTCTAAATGCTGTTCTTTTGTTTAGTGTTGTGAAGGTCCACCCCAAACATCTGTCAGATGACAAAGACCCTCAGTGTGAGTTAGTCTCTGGGTGTCTCATGCGTCAGGCACATTGTGTTCTGATGTGCGGATGAAACTCTTAACAACATTCAATAAGGAAGAGAATTTAGAAAGGTACTTAGACATCTTGAAACGTCCTTCTCCATCCACACAAGCTTTGGCCTCATTGTTCAGCGCAGGTGTTTGTCCCTTATCCGTGTCAATCCCTATTATTCCTATACCAATCTGGCTGAGCGGCTCTCACGCTGAGTTATGTGTCTAGATCAGTGGTTCTCAAACCTCTCCATGAAGTACCCCCAGCACTGCACATTTTGTATGTCTCTCTATATCTGACACACCCACTTCAGGTCTTGCAGTCTCCACTAATGAGCTGATGAGTTGAATCAGGTGTGATAGATGAGGGAGACATACAAAATGTGCAGGGCTGGGGGTACTTCATGGAGAGGTTTGAGAACCACTGGTCTAGATGAACTCTTCCTCTGCATTATGAATGATAAGAGTGGAACACTGTCTCCAGAATAAAGTCTGATAGTACAGCAACATCGGAGTAACAGGAGTATCTTCCAAATGCAAGGTCATCGGCAATGACGTCAAACTTTCACTTATCAGACATTTATTATCCTGAGAATTCTGAAAAAAAGTACCACATTTTCAACACTGATAATAATATTACTTGAGCAGCAAATCAGCATATTAGAATGATTTGTGACCCAAAAAACTGTTAGAATTTTGTTTTCCTTGTTTAATTTTTTAATTATTCAACAGACACATGTGAGTGGTCATATAATTATTAATTTGCAGCGTTTTTGCAGCTCAGTTTCAATAAATGCTGTAGTAAGCAGACATTTTTTGCTATAAAAGCCACAGTATTGATACAATTTACATTTTTATTTCAATCAATTCGATCAATGTCAATGTGATTTTTCATTATTTTATTATTGAAGCATGTGTGTCAAATGGAATGAAAACAGAAAAGCACAGGGCAGTCGTACGAAATAATATAATATTTATTTCCAGCAATTTACAAGAACCTCTGTTAGGTCCCCTTTACAGTGTCAGATTAAAGCGGCTGGGGCAGAAACTGATGGGGAAGAAATCAAAGAACTCAGATAACCAGTTACTATTACTAGCTGTACACTCTTGGATAATCTGGTAAGTTTGCTTTAGTCTTGCTTGAGAGGCTGGGATCTGACCCTCAAGGCCAATTTAACTCAAGGAAGGTTACGTTTTCTTGTAGGAAGTTCTAAGAAGATTACATATTAGAATCTCTAGAATTCCCAGATCAGAGGGAATATGTGACAAATTACACAACCCACAAGTAAATATTAATTTGCTCTAAAACTCATGGGGATCTCAGTGGCTTTGCTTTGGATAACTTTACCACCGATACATCTGCCCTGGAAGAACACAACAGATGGGATGATTTGTGTACACAAATCAACAGAATACAATATGAAAACCAACAAAAAATCTCATAGAAAAAAAGACGAATCAGAAGACCTATAATACCTATGTGTCGAGCCTTGCTTGTGATTTGTTAAGGCATATTATGCTCAATTCACCGAACCAGATCGAGTGTGAGGTTTTGCTGGATATTAGGCACCAAACTTGGATATATTTGTTAAGAAGAAGAAAAAATGACTGGTACAGTAAACATCTCTACTGGTCCAATGCAAAGAAAAATGCAACAAAATGAAAAATAAACATTTATCGAATAAATATATTATTTACAAATAGCTTTGTCACATCTATAGAAATAAATAAACAAAGCCTCCCATCCCCTGAAGAAATATTCACAACTATAGAGAGCTGTCATGGTACAATGGCAGCACCGGATCAGTTACACAGTAATATTTGTGATGTTTGAATGCATAATTGTGGTATAAACATGTCTGCACATTGGAGCTGCATGCTCTCCTTGCACAAGCGCGACCTCTTGTGGCAAACTGTGACATTACAGTACATCTTGTACACAGTGATCTAATGTGACGTGCTTAAACGTGCTTACCGCAATAACACTAGAACTCGCCTTAACATACTTCCACAATTAAAGAAAACAGACATTTAAGGACAGAAAATAAAGTGTACAGTAAAAACAAAGTGGGTGTGTTTAATATATCGTGAATTATATGAAATGTGCGCAAATTAAGCGATGTTTCTACGCAGCCCTTTAGCAATGGCAGGCTAACATTAACACACCGTCCATAACTGGAGGTCAGTTGCTTTATAAGGCCATGCTAGTCGTTAAAATATACATTAGTTTACTGTCAACTACTGATTAGAGATTTTTATGGCCGAGAACTGAGGTACAGATTAGCTGCTAGCAATCCTGTTAGCCTTTCAAGTGTTTCTGAGTGGCATTAATCTCATAAAAACATTCAAAACGAAACCTCTCTCCTCTTCGGTATGAAAGAAACTCTTTCAAGGAATTTAATCAAGCATGGCTTCAAATCATATTCGGAGAGCCGGTTCAACAGCACTTTTTTTTAGCTAGCATGCAGTGGTACAGAGGTGTAGACATCTAAATAGCCCTTTTTATAAGCATTTATTTTTTTGCATAATTCTACAGAAATACTTAGGTCGTATTATAAAAAGGCTTTTGAGAATTTTTTTGAGAAGTAGCACACTGAAGCGTGACATTTTGAAGTAGAAAGACTGAAATAGTATTTTCTTGTAAAACGTACTCCAGTAATCTTTGCTTTATTTCACAGCTTCGAAAAATCATTTTACAGTGTAGATTTAGACTTCCTTTTATTATGCAAAAATATAGCCTATCCATAAGGTAACTGAGCAATGAAACGGGCCTTTTCTCTTTTTAATTGACTGTGATAAGCGTTTTTGCCTAGAGTTTGCAGGCTCTGCATTTTTTTAATCATGTTACTGGGTAATTTAATTTCTTTAAAGGCAGATAAAGTGCTTTGCAATGTATACTTCCTTTCAACTCACATGAGAATAATTTCCAGTTAATTTTGAACACTTTGTGAGCCCATTTAACTAAAAATCATAGAAACTCCAGTTCATTCAGGGAGGCGGAGCTTAGCAAAGGGTCAACTGTATATATACTCTATATAATAGAATATTCATTTGGATTTGGAAAGCCTTTAAAAGTACATTGTCAAATATGATTTCTGGTTTGATAAAAAGGGTCCAGACTGCCATTTTCTAACTCATAGCCCTTTTAAAATAACCACTTTGTTAACCACCACTACAAATACATGAACTGTCCCAGTATTTTGAGTCCACAGATGAGATTTTGGAGATTATCGGATGTGGACTTCACAATAATGGCCTGAGAAGCTTAAAACAATCTTACGGGCCTTTGACTGGGTTAAACGGTTGTGTATGTAACGGAAATGTACCTACGCAAATGAGGCAAAGTCTGATATTTGATCCTTTAGGTGTTGAGCGTAAACAACCCATGAACCCTTTTTATTGCACAACTTGAGAATTTCAGGGATTTCTATGAAACAATAAAGCACTTTAGGTTACTATCTCTCTCTGTAACCATAAGCAGAGCTACTAAAGCAAATTTAGATCCTGAAAACGTAGCATTGGTTGTTAAATAGGGTTGTTTTCTATGCGTTTTACTGTATAGGCATGTTTTATCGTCAAAAGGTCCCCTTTGAGATTCAGTCTCTGCTATTAAGACTTAAGTGATTCTTTCAATCTCTAGCCTGAAATGTTATTTAGGTCACTCTGTGATGGTCCAAATATGTTTATTTTTTGTTTGTATTTGGCAAAGGCTGTGAGTGCCACCATCAAATCACTATTTTGTAGCACTTGGTGATTTAGCATTCTATGTTCGTTTGCCTCTTGTGAAATATTTCAAGTTTAGGTCGATGTCATCTTTACATGCAGCCAACGCGACTGGCCGTAAAATCGGGCCGAACATCCCCATTGAAAAATAATGAGGATTGTTGTTCTCCCAGTAGCTAACCAACAAGGAAATTACATATCAATACTAAAGCAAAATTGTCATCAATATAATCATGGTAGCCATTGTAGCCATAACAATATAGATATTATTTCTCTATGTGGCATTATAAATAAAGACGTTTGTGTTGCTTGGACAGAGTCAAAGGAAGCAGTGTGGATCAGTCACCCACATCTGTGTCCCGATCTCCAATTAGCCACAGGATGTGGAAACACAGAGCCAGGAAGCCCGTCCCCAGCAGGTCTCCCAGGGCGGTCAAGTAGGGAATGGAGAAGTTGTCAGGATCCATCCCTCGATGCCACATCCAGTTTACCATCCAGTCTGCAAGGTACAACAGGATCACAACCTAGACGGAAAGACAAGAGAATGTGTCAACGGACGGAAAATAATGGACTGATCGATTATTAAATATATGCATATTTTTGAACATATTTTAATTAATAAATAAATAAATAAATTTGTTTTGTGTCTGATATACACCATTTCAAAGTTTGGGGTTAGTAATTATTTATTTAATGTTTTTGCATTTATTTGACCAAAAAATGCAGTAAAACTTAAGATTGTGAAATATTATTACCTTTAAAGCAACTGTTTTCTATAATAAAATATTTTGAATTGATTCTTGTGATTTTCAGCATCATCACTCCTCATCATCATTCTAAATGCTGATTTGCTGCTCAGGAAACATTTATGATTATCATCAATGTTGAAAACAGGTGTGCTGCTTATTTATTTATTTTATGGAAACTGTTTTTTTGGTGAATAGAAAGTTCAAAAGCAGAATTTAGGTGAGTTAACTGTCCTTGCTGAATAAAAGGATATCATTTTAAAATCTTGCTGACCTTAAACATTTGAACGGTGATGTATTTCTAAAGTGAATTAAATTGTTTCATGATAGCAATGAGAATTTAATGTCACAATGCAAAAAAAGTCTTAAAGATCTTAAAATATGTTCCTCATGCAAAGTATAATTTCTTAATTATTTTCTTTTTGAAACATGACCCAGACTTTTTTTTCCCCCACACAATTCACTCAAACTTCCCTCATGTAGGTCAGAAACACTATAAAACATTTGAAGCATTTCCTTGTAATGAGAAACAGAAGCTCAGGTATACCTGAAGCAGAGCTGCGGCCAGATAAAATGCAATGAAGACAGAGGTGAGAGTGGTGTGTCCACCCTGCATAGAGTTAATAGTGTAGAGGAAGACCAGATGACCAGGAGTGACCAGGAGGAAGAGCACTCTGGCAGAACGTGCGTTGACACCTGATGAGAGAGTAAATGTAGGGTGAGTCAGTGTAAGCACTGTTACAGGAGCATGACTGAAGTCATTAGCTATACTTCCATCCAAAGTTACGAATTAAACTTATGTGCAAAATTGGAATATCGCATAAAACTTTTGCGAATAAAGCACCATTTCCATCCAGTGAGATGAAGAGAACAAAATCGTCACTTCCTGATTAACTTGTGCTAAATGCGAAGAGAAATGAAATTTGCTGCAGTAGGAGAAGGCACTGTATATAATAATTTTTGTATACAATAAATTACGAGCTTCAGAGTGTGCAGATGATTCGGAGTTCTGGGAGTTAATTATAACACTTTGATGAGATTTTGCTCAAGCATTTTAGAATGACAAAACTAGCATTTCAGATGCTGTGCAATGAGATCGGTCTGTTGATTAGTCCAGTTTTATGCTGTCCCATCGCAAAGTCACATGTCTTTTTTGATGCGCATTAAGGAATTTATTCGGTAAAAGTGTTTTCATCGTAGTTTACGCACAAGTTACGCATAACGCATACGTTTTTATGCACATTTTTAGAATTTATGTGCATCTTGGTGTTTCCATACAGGGTTTTTTATGCGATACCCCAAAATGCGTATTAAAAAAAAGATGGATAGAACCATAGCTATTGAGACCCAATACAGGGAAATATGTAACTATCAATATTTAGTGATTACGTCTTTGCTAACAATAGGGCTACTGTTTGTTTACATCACTCACCTGAGCCAAAGAACGTGCTCCAGGGAGTGGGACATTTCCGTGGGGCTGGGTTTGGCTCTGCTATGGGCAAGGCGTTCATGTGCAGGTAGGTGGAGATTCGACTGGCTTGAACCGCCACCAAATTGCCGCCCACACCTGCAGCAGGGCAAAACAAACAAAGTGTGCAATGATCTCAGGTGTGTCATAGTGAGGGCTAGTAAACACAACCAATGGAAACACTGAATCATGAGATACGAGGAGATAAGGAGTCTCACCGTTGATGACGGGAGTGAAAACTGCCATTCCAGCAAAGTTGGGGTTAGATACTGTCTTATCCAGAATGAGGCCTCCAACACTGTTTCAAAAGAAGTCAAATCTAATTTTAACGACACAAAGATTACTGCATCTGTGGTGTCAGGTGAATGATTGACATACTGCTGTCAGCCGCACGTGAGTAATCCATCCATCATGAGGAAATGGAGCATCTTTCTGTTAATCAGTGTTCTTCCTACCTGCTGATCGCCATGGCTATAATGACAGGCTCCCAGCCTGAGTACAGCACTTCCCGGGTGGAAGGTGTCCGCCGGGCGATAAGTACCCAGATGGGTGTCAGGGCGACGAAGAAGGCACAAACCATTGGGTTGGCATAATCGTTGAATTCTGTAAGGGAAAAAATGACATTTATTGACAAATTGAATACATTTTCATAAGTTATAAATGATACATATACACCTATATGTGGCTAAATACTGTAAATATATACAGTATTATATATAATGGTTATATATACAGTATATATATATATAGATCTCTACATTCTCGAGACTGAATTGTCATGAACAACACATTTAAAGGAAGACCTGTGGAATTCATCACCAGTTCATACAGTTTTAAAACCAAAGCCTGTTGAGAAATAATCACACACAACATTCTTTTGGGTGCAATTTTACACCCGGATTCTGGAGAAGTTGGGTAAGATGAAAGCTTGGTTGACCTACTATTTTTACTTTGGCCGTTGCTTGTTTATATCCAGACAGTTTGGTCTGTGAGGTTTGATAAGTCATAAACATGCAATTAATCTTTACCATAAATGTTTCCATCCGCACACTCTCATTTTACAACTGTTCACGGCACATCAAAGCAGCAAGGTGCTGCCACAAGAATGCTCTACTAACAATAAATGTGCTCTTGTGTTGTTTCATTGCGAAGCATAATCTAAACTAGAATATTTGCTCCCACTTGGTGTTGTCTCTTTATGGAGTCTAAAGGGAGAGACTGCAGAGTCTAATAGGTGCACCAAAGAAACTCACAAAGCAAGTGGTGTTCACAAGCTCCAACATGCTCCACTATGCTCTAACATGACTCAGCATGATGACTTAGGGAAATCTGACTGAATGTATTACTCATGAGAATCAAAAGTACACAAAAACCACGATAACCCTCAACAGAAGAAACGGTCAAGTGTACTGTTTTATATTTGAATATATTTTAAAATGTAATTTATTTCTGTGATGCAAAGCTGAATTTACAGCATCATTACTCCAGTCTTTAGTGTCACATGATCCTTCAGAAATCATTCCAATATGCTGATTTGCTGCTCAAGAATTATTATCAGTATTGAAAACAGTTGTGCTGCTTGATATTTTTGTGGAAACCGATAGATTTTTTCAGGATTCTTTGATGGCTAGAAAGTTATTTGAAATAGAAATTTTGTAATTTAAATGTCTTTACTGTCACTTCTGATCAATGTAATGCATCTTTAATGAATTAAAGTATTAATTTAGTAAAAAAACAAAATCAGACCCCAAACCTTTCAATGGTAGCGTAAATATAAATATAATGTACATATAATGTGCGCATATAAACATATGTATACATACTTATGCTTATTCTTGGACACTCTTCTATTACACTTGCACTTTCTTCTTCTGGATTTTTGTCGAAAAAAGTAAAGTTAATCTTCTTTTTAAATCACCAAGCAAAGGTTGAGATGCCATTTTCTCCCGGACTGTGGCAGTTACTCTGCAGAAGTTTTATGATACAGACTGCCAAAATGTGGCTAATTAAAGAAGAAACTGACTTTTGATATCTTCAGTTAAGACATGCAAATGTTTCATTTCAGGAGCTGCCAAGATAGTTTCTTATTCCTCCACTGAACTCAACTCAGAAACAGAGGAAAGATAATTACGTTTCTAGGCCATTCAGTTCATAAGTTATCCGCTAAAATGTATGCGAATCTACAAACTTTAGTGTGCCTGCTCATATATCTGCTTGCACTTGGATCACAAAATGCACTGACAGTAGATATCTGATTACGGCAATGTTCCCAAAGAGCTCAGCTAAAGAACTGAGGTGTTCACTCACCGAGCTCCTTATATAGGCCAGTACTGATGCCAGCCAACAGTGCCAGGGTGATCAGGTCACCGAGGCTGGCTGCAATGGGGGTGGCCACATTGTCTGGGTTGATGCCAACTTTCCTGGATGCAATGATAACCCCGATCATGATAAGACCTGGGCGGAAGAGGAGAGGAAAGATTTGTCTAGTTAGCGTTGATATGGTGGAATTAACACAGGAGATTGTGTCAATCCCAAACAATGAAGACTAGACATTCTTCGTTTTTGATACCTCCTGTTTGGAGGATATATTTCCACTCTAGTGCTGAAATGAGACCTCAGAGCTGCTTTGTCTTTCCAGATTCACGCACGCACGCACATATATATATATATATATATATATACAGTGGTGTGAAAAAGTGTTGGCCCCCTTCCGTGCCCGGAGAAGTGGGTATACTCTTAATTTATGCCCCAATTTTTTTTAAAGCGACCCAGCTAAGGATGAACACCATGTGTTATAAACAGTGACGTGTAAAACTAGTCTTGTATATTTAGTTGTAGATTTAGATGTCATGACCCTCTCACCTAGCAGCAAAGAAGCGATGAATGCGGTGGCCACACTGCTGGCACAGAGCAAGACGGCATGGCCCATCTTAAAATTACCCTCTGGAATCCAGCCAAAAATGACTGCAGCGATGGAAGCCAGGAAGCCGACCACTGTGGCCTGAACCTGAAATCAGGAGGGGCATGATGAACTTGGACACCTCTTTTAAACATCCTCCCACCCTCCTGAATGTCAAAGTCTTCATGTCAAGTTTACTTTGTTCTCTTTCATCATTAGTGTACACATGCCATTATTGGGTTTAGGGGTCATTTCCAAGAAACACATCACCCAATC